TATTTTGCGAATAGCCTTTAAAAATATAAGGGTATTAATAAATTTCGAATGAACATACGACCATTGAGCTACCACACCCTGAAGGGATGAATTGCGTAATCCAGCAAGTTAGTAACAGTTGTGAATACCAGCTGGCTATTATTACAAAGTTTTAATTCCAAAATCCCCTTCGGATATAAAATCCCGTTTGTTTTTCTTGTCTTGCACCCCTACCCCCTACCAGTGTGACAGCAGCGGCTATTCAGGCAGAACACCTGCGTAGGATCAATGTGCACCCCCTCCTCTGTACACCCTCCCCCTTTTCTTTTGGATGGACGATAATTGAAAACAGTTCCGAAGCTTAAAATAACATTCTTTTTTTTTTTTTTTTTTTTTATTTTTAAATAATATATTCGATGCAATGAGAGTGTAGGGAAAAAAAAAAATCAACGTGTTTAATAATTACTTTAATTTACTAACGGAAAATAATTCAATTTTCTTTTTTCCAAAAGAAAATAATTAGAAGAAAATATTAATACAAAAAAAAAAAAAAAAAAAAGAAGAAGAGAAATAATAAGAATAATTTAGTTCATTCTTATTTATTTGTTAGGTAGGTAGCAGTACTTAATCGAACCGGGAACACGTTTGTAGATATCGTTCGTTCTTAGCTTAGAATTAATTTTCTGCACAGTGAAAAATAAAAAAATTTCTCCGATCTTATGAATATTAAAAGCAGAAAAATCGAGTTTTGTTTCCAATTTATCAAAACCTAAGCGAATTTGCTTCATTAGCTGTATAAAATTAAAAAATAAAAAATAACAATCATGCATTTCCTTTTGGATGGAAGCGAGTTTATTTGCGAATACAATTAGCATCATAATTAGCTCATAAAATTTAGCATATTTATTGATGCGTTTGAATAAAAATAATTAATAATTCGAATAAGTTAAAAGAAAAAAAAAAAAAAAGTTTCTGTCTCCGTAGGCAAGAGCTGAATTTAAATTTATTAATAAATTTTCTGGAAGTCAAATATTTATTTAACACGACATTCACTTGCATAAATGTCACAAAATTGCAAATCTGAAATTAATTAATTCCAGAAGTTATTTGTCAAATGAAGAATGAATAAATTTAGTTGTGGGAAAATTAATTTATAATTTAATTTTCTGAAATATGCATGAATTTACAGACACAAATTCTATTAAAAGATTCGAAAGGAAATTGTAAAGAAATTATAATATCTAGACAACATGTTTATAGCTAATTACACTTTGGAAATTAACTAAACAATTTCTTTTCAATTTGAAGTCAACTAGAATATGACTTTTCAATATTACTTTATAAATAAAGCAGATTAAAGTTGAAAAAAAGATAAAATTTATAACAATATATTCATTTTTATTCCACATAGAGTTAGAATTAATTCAAATGTCCATTCACATTTTATTGAAGCTATTTCAAATGCATAAAATTTGATCTTTTTCTATTAGTGTGGAATTCAAATTATTTCTATAACATTTAAATAATTGTAACTCTCTACATACTTTTCGTTTTGTCAATTTAATATGATCGTAAGTCAATTTCATTTTTTAAGTTCATCAAAAATGAAACATGATATAAAATACTATACAAATTTAATTTTAGTATAAAGTAAAACTGTTAAAAATAAAATTATCAATTTATCAAGATAATATTGATAAAAAATATATGTTTTATGGAAATTTTATCATAGTAGCTGTTGAGATAGTCTTCGTATAAAATTCAATAATATAAAAAGCTTGGATTTTCAGATTTTCGTTCAGTACGATATGCAAATGCACGGCAGTCAACATTAAAAGTCCACTCAAAAAGCAATGTTCACCCTTTATCATAGTCGATGGGATGTTTGTGGTATAGATAAATTGAATACAAGTCGATACGATATGATGTATAACAAAAAAAAAAAATGGCAATTAAAAACAATTTTTGATTTGACGCTTTTTATGCCTATACTATAAAACGAAAATTGGAAAAAAAAAAGATTACACTGCAAACATATTTTTCTCGCCATCCTGATTCAGTAAAAATTTATTAATAAGAAATAGTAGCAAAAAAAAAAAAAGTAAGTAGCAATTAGTAACAAGTACTTATTAAATAAGTAATTATAGCTTATGTAAGTTCAATTTATATTCACGTTGAACTTGTCATTAGTTTACGACGAAATTCGAGTTTGGAATAGGTTATCAGAACAAATCGATACTTTGTTTTAATCTTCATTCAATAGATGGCGCTGAGGATATTCATGCTAGAGCAATACCCATTAAACTGGAATTATTGTTGCTTGTAAATTATTTTTGTACTTGCAACAAAGTATTTCTATTGCGTTGTATTTTTTGGTTATTGTTTAAAAAGTGTTTTAATTAAGACACAATTTTGTTTCTAAGATTTATTACAGGGTATTAATAAATTTTATGAAACACAAATAAAAACGAAAACAAACTTTCTCTTTAACGATGACTTTTTATTGAAAATGTTTTGCCTTCCAACATAATTGGGATTGCACGAATTAGAAATTTTACTCATTTATATAGCATCAGTGTGTATTTTAAATATCAGGTGTATTTTTTTAAATGGAATAAAAAATTAATTTTACATGTTGTGTTTTTTACTGGAATTTAGTTAATAAGTTAGGAATTTTAGTTCTTATTCTCTATTTTTTTTTATATATGAAAAATGGAATATTTTGCTTTTTTATAAATAATCTTTTCAATTTAATGAAATATTTTCTCATTCTTTTTAAAAATAAATTGGGAAACCAAAATTCCTGTTTAATGATACTCAGTTCATAAAAAATAATTACAATGTTGAAATTTTGAATGTCAAAAATATAATAAAAGCATTCAACGAAATTTCAGTTTAAAAACAGATTTTATTTATTATTATATTTTTGGTTATAAAAATGTAATTATCATCAGAGAAATGAACTTATAATCCGATGAACTTATGTCTAAACAAAACATTTCCTGAATTAAAAACTCATCTCATTTTTCTGATACCATTTTTAATTTGAACATCTGGTTTTTAAGTTAGAACACAATGTTATTTTTTACAGAATTTTTTATAATATCTTTATTAACAAAATATACGACAATTTACAATAAACTAAGATTGTTAAACTCTTTAAGCTTTAATTTGGAAAGGTTTATTAATAAGTACTATCATAAAAATTTTTAACACAATTTATTTTCAAAAACTTTTTAACTAAAATTAATGCAAAAACTTCATAAATAATTTCATAACACGAATTTTTGACTCGATGACAAATCAAGAATTCCAGTTATACCCCCCACCTCTGCCATGATTTTTTTTTATCGTAACTTAAATTACAATAAACTCAAATATGAAACCCTTAGAAACTTCAGTTTAATCCCACTCTGTATCCCCTGGCAACATAAAACCTCACTAAAAATGTTAATTTTGAGTCTACCAGCGTTCAGTCCCCTACCTTCTAATACGTCCCGAGAGGTACGAACAAAGTGATGAGTAAAATCTCCAATTATCCATCCGAACGGACGACTCGTCCATCTCCAGCATGTGAAGTGGGATTCCAAAGTCCTCACGCGCATATTTGACATGTTGTCCACTCTAAACCCCGAGCACGAGCTCTATCCCCAATAAAACACTACTACATCCCATTCCCGCGTTGCAGTGTAATTACCGAAAACCGTTCGGACCTCTTCAAAATTTCTGTCTGAGTCATCAAATACCCAATGAACTGGAAACACTATGGGGAGGGGATGGGCAGAACTTTAAAGGTTGGTGTCCAACGTTGCATAATAAGGAAGTTGCCGGTTTAAGCCATCCAGTTGCCAATGACTTGGGGTGGACGGCGATTTAACGTGTGTTAAGTGTTGGAGGAGGATGATGATGGTAGGTTCTGAGAGGATGGTACAGGATGGCGGTATGTGCCTGCTAACAAAGGGATTTTCCATCAAGTTTGACCGTTTGCAGATGCTTATGTTTTCCTGGAGGTGATTCAGAACGCTTTGGTTAAGGGGGGGATGATACGAGTTAGGTGGAAGGTTTGTGTAAAAGGGTATTGCTTGGTTATTGGAGCGGCAGGCGGTAATTTGTCAGTGGGATGAGGGGTGGCGATTGTCTTTTGCGTCAGATGATAAGTGGGAAGAGGGTCTTTTGAAGTGACATCGCCCGTGTTCTATTTTGCACGAGTTGTTCGGGTGAAGTATGCCATGGTTATGCAGGTAGCAGGTTTCCTCAGTAATTTGTATCGATGACCAGTTTTATATAAAAAAAAATTAATATTTTTAATTATTTATCTTGATAAACAAATGAAAATGTTTTGTTTAAAATTCATTTTGTCAGAAAAACCAAATAATAAGAAGTTAGAAAGGAAAATATGAAATATTATGCGCGTTTGATCTTTGTTTGAAAGATATCTACGTAAGTTTGTATATTGAATTTTATACTTAATTATTTAGCAACTTTTATGTTTTGCCAAGGAAATTTCGAAGTAATATTTTGTCAAGCGAAGTAATATTTGATTACTCTTATTGTAATTATATAAGAGCTCATTAAATTATAAAAATACACTTATTCTAAATGTAGTATAATTGTTTTTAATGTATTAATCATTTTCTTTAGAAAAAAAAAATGAAATTAGGTAAGATTGTAATAAAAAATTCGCGTTTCCTATTTAGTGTCAAGAAGTTGTTGTTGTTTCTTATCCCATTTGGCTGGCCAAGCCCACGAGCCCATACGTACTCACGATTGAAGTGGAAGGAAGCAGCTTCTGTTGTGATGGAGCACCAGTAGGTAGAAGTCTGACTTTGCCTCCGTGACGCTCTTACAGTCATAGGAGACCGGGACCTACGGCTTAAAGTGGATTCGAACCACTACAAACATCCATGGCACCGGCGGGATTCGAACCACTACAAACATCCATGGCACCGCCGGGATTCGAACCGAAACCTGGCACCGAGCGCCAGACACTCGGCCATTCCGATCCCAAATTTGTGAATGCCAACGGCACGCGGTGTTTCAGGTGGTCACCCACCCAAACTGACCGCGCCCAATGATGCTTGACTTCGGTGATCTAACGAGAACCGGTATATTCAGCATGGTATGTCCGTTGGCAGTTTCAAGAAGTATAAAATATATATAAACATTTCAAAAATTTCTCAAAAAAAAATATTCTTGGAATATATTTTACAAAGCTAAAAGTTCATCACCATTTAACAAACTATATCTATTTCAATCCAAAAATTAAATAAAGCAAAGCTAGACAATTTCAATATAGTAAAGCGAAACAATTTCAAAATTGCAAAGCGAGACAATTTCAAAATAACAAAAAGACAATTTCAAAATAGCAAAAGCGAGACAATTTAAAACTAGCAAAGCGAGACAATTTCAAAATAGATAAAATAAATTACATCGGATCTTTAAAGCAACTAAATGCCATTTAAAACAATGAACGACGATGCATCTTATAATTAAATTAAAGCTAAAAGAAAATCTTCGCTCATTGGAAACAATTGAAACTCCAATTAAATCTCAGGACATATTAAATACGATTGTAAAATAATACCTTTCCTACGAAGGAAGCAATTAGTATTTTTGATTCCATTTCAAATTAAATGAAATAACTTTTAATCTTTAAACGCTGGATCCCAAATCCAAACTACCAATACAAAATTAAATTTAAATGTTGTTGTTATACCCCCCCGTGACAATCGGGGAAGAAAGATTTCCCCATTTAAAACATCCATACAATAAATGAGTGTAATTGATTAGCAAAATTAATTAATTTAGCAAAGGTTTTCCTTACGTAGTTCTCAATTCCAACATGGCCGTCTTCTAAGATGGCCCTATGTGAAAAGTACTAAACGCAAAGCAATTGGGAGATTACCATAATTAAAATGAGATGCGGGCCCAATTTTCCATTGTTCGAAAGTTTTCCAGGGCAACAAGCTGGCCAGCTTTTAAAGCAATTAAAACAATTAAGTAATGCGAAATGCATAGTTATGGCAATTTAACAAAGCATCTGTCGGAAAGTAGAGGAAGGAATGGAGAGAAATTGGGAGAAAGTTGTTCCTTGCAGCTTTTGTTTGCATTATTAGATAAATTTGAACTGTACCACCTATTTGAATGGGTAACTGTTCACGAATTCTTTCAATTTGAGAAGCGTTTTGATAGTTTATCGATATACTTATTTCAAAACTTTTCCATTTGAAAATTATTTGATGTGAAATATTCGAAGTATTATAAATAACATAAGCAGAATTACGTCGCTGTGAGTTTAACAACCCGGATCTATTTATTCAATTCCTACTATCAGCTCACACTCTCCCTATATACATCTTGTTCAAATTTTCAATCGTTCATAATATACTTTTTATTCATCCACTCAAGTTCAAATATTTTTTTTTTTTTTGAACTTGTAGTGTATGGCACTGCATGTTAATACAGTTTTTTTTCAAATATTAATTCAGTAATTAAATTTAATTAATTAATTTTAGTTTTTTTTTTACATTTAAGTTGCATATATCTACCAATAGCTGGCGCCAGATAAACTTCAAAAAATGAATAAAAATTATTTATGAAGGAATTTCTGCAATACAATGAAAAAAAGTAGGAATTGACTTTAATTTTTTTTTTTTTTATATTACTTGTTAGATAAATTTGAACAGTACCACCTATTTGAATGGATAACTGTTCACGAATTCTTCAAATTTCAGAAGCGTTTTGACAGTTTATCGATATACTTATCTCAAAACTTTTCCATTTGAAAATTGTTCGATGTGAAATATTCAAAGTATTATAAATAACATAAGCAAAATTACGTTGTTTTGAGTTTAACAACCCGGATCTATTTATTTATTGATATTATTCTACAAAATTAATTGCTGATTGATTTAGTTCTAGCATATATAGGTATTATAAATGAGTTTTTATAAACTGATATTAATTTAATGTTGTAATTGATTAAGTATTTTAATTAGTAGTAATTAAGTAGTTTTTAGTATTTACTAATAAGTATTTTTGATTAGTATAATTAGTAGTATTTTTATTAAGTATTTAAAACTGATTGTTAAGTAACTAATTAAATATTTTTTAATTAATTGAATAATTATTTTATTATATATTATGTATTTTTATTTAGATATATCATATTTTGTTATGGTATTTCTAAGGGAAAGTTAATTTTTTACAAAAATTGCTACTTTTATATCAACATTTTAGTTTGTGCTTTTATTACAAGAGCAATAAATTACAATATTTTTATTTCATTATATATTATTTGATTATTAATAAATCTGCTTTATAGGATTTGCAATCAGAAATTATTAAACGGATAAATAAACAGCGTAAAATAAATATTTGTTAAAACTAAATATAAAGTTAGGAAAACTAATCAAATCAATTATTAAAAATTCTAAACAAAGTATTACTAACTTAATAAGTTCGTTTTTTTAAGTTATTCGTTTTATTATTCATAATAGATTCGAGAAAATAAGATTTCTCAATATTTTTCGTATGTAAATTCTAAAAGTTCGATTTCTAGTTACATATGACTAAAAGTTGACTTGATTTCATTTTGACATGAAAACAAACTTATTTGTGAGATACATAAAATTGTGTTATATTTGAAGACGCTATAAAATTCTACTAAATAAACTTAAATACTTTAGAAAATTAAACAATAAATGATATTTAAAAATCTTAATTTTACGCAGCATTAATTTTATGTTTTGTATTTAAAAGATTTATATTCAAGTTTCAAATTCGTTATAAATAAGTATACTTTGTCGAATAACATAATGGAAAAATAAATCTTCAGAACTGAACTCGCGTGTTATAAGAAAATTACTTTAGTAGAAACACGATAAATAAAAGTCTAGAAACAAAAACTGAAGTAGTACTTAAAACTAAAAAGGTAGTTCATCACGATATGAATAGTGTTTTTTTAGTAATAATATTTTTTTGTTTCCAATTCAGTCCCCATTATTTATACAATTAGTTTTTATAATACAATGTTTACTTCAGAAAATTAAGCAAATCTACGAACCGCAAGAAAAAGTTAAACATTATTAAACATAAACTTGTGAGAAAAAAATAAAAAGAAACATATTATCTTATTAAGAAGAATAATTAACACGGAAAATATATTGTAAACATTTTTACTTAATGTTGGTTTTTTCATTCATAACGCAGTGCACGTAAAGCCACAATATTAAAGAGTACTGCTAGAAAAGCTGAAATACATTGAAACCTGTTAACTAAAGATCAGATTTTGCTAAACATTATTTATTTCATTAAATCATGTAGAACTAAAAAAAAAAAAAAGCTTTTTCATTTAAAAGCAATAATATTCATTATTATAAAAATGAAAAAATAATGAATTTAGTTAAGAAAGTAATGTCTTTATTTGTTTACTTATTGATCAATGATACAATCAAAATATGCTGCTATATTCGTACTGATTATTAAAACTATTGAAATTAAACATTTTTCTCTGCCAATCGTTAAAAATACTTTTGAAAATTTGATGTTATGGTAAATTTTATATAACGCTATTAGTCACACAAAATAAACTTTCGTTTTTAAACAAATTTGACTAATATTATAGAACAGTAAGTATTTTATTTTAAAAATTAAAAAGAAAAAACATCTAAAAAGTTAATTATTTATTAAAATTAATAAAAATTAATGAAATACAGAGATAATATGCCATATTATTACTCGCGATAAAAATTCTTCTATAATTGCATTTCAAATTTTAAGTACATTTTAAGAAATTATAGAATTCAAAATTATATTTATAATGGAAATGACAATAGATAAGGCATGTATTTTTTAAAAATATTTGTCATAATTCTACAATCTCGAAAACTAACAGCATTTAAATTATCGAAGTTATAAACATTACTAAAAAATCTCAAATCTATAAAGAAGGAAATCTTTATTTTAATTTATACTTATAGATGTTTGTCACTGAAATCACTTTAAAATATTTAAAAGTAGAATACAAAATGTGTAACACAAAAATGAAATTGATTTAACTCTGACGTTATATAGCGGTCTCTTCTTTAAGTTGATACAGTTTAACTTCAATATTTGATATTAAATTTGAGTTTACAGAATATGTTTTTATGATAAATAAGCCCATTGCTATATACATAAGTTATAGAATATAGAAAATAAAAAAAAATCAACAATTTAACAATATTTATTTCAAAATTTACCTTTTAAAATTTTATTATGATTATTCCTAAAAACATATTGAAAATATTATTTGTTTAACTTCAATTATATTCTTGAAAATATTAACTTATTTCTACAATTAAAAAATATTGAGATGCAATATTATTGCACAATAACAGTTCTTTTTATTTACACATTTTATTTCAATTCATGAACAATGTCTATGAACTAACAAATACTTTTGACTGACAAACAGTTAGTGACAATAATAAAATTTTTTTTAAAAAAAAAGTTATAAATATTCTTTTTAAACTTAATTAATAAAACAGATATAGAATGTTGAATCTTACTTTTTATTCAGCATAAAAACTTGACCGAAGAGCAGCAGTTTCGAATTAATTGCAACAAACTTAAGAGGTGCGATTTACAACTTTACAAAATTACTTCTAACGTCTAGTGGACTAGTATCCGATTTGAACAACATTTCGAAATGAAATACATGCGGCGACCTATTCGATCAATAGGACAGCAAACCGTACTAGGACGATCTGGAGTGGATTTTCAAAGAAGAGAGAGAGAGTCACTGTACTAGTAGGATGAAGGGGAGAGAACGTACGTTCCCTACGAAGTACTGGAGACAGTTTGGGTGAGTTCTCGTTCACAACACGGTGAATGCTGGGACAGGTCGTGGCGCATGCGCAGTGGGAGATCCAACACTACCGCCACTATTTCGACCAGCAGGAGTTTTTCTCCCCTTTTTCTTCCTTTCTTTTTTTCGTTTTCAAATTTTTTTTTTTTTTCCCCTTTCCTTTTTTTAATATGCTTTTCTTTACTCATTTTTTCTCCTTTTTTTCTTTTTGAAAAAAATTTCTTATAGGAATGCGCTCAGTGTCATATCGTTGTGGGTGCGGTATTCTTTCTGTGAAAT